ACCTCGGATTCCAGCATAAGACGGATTCAATCCCATTAAGAAAAACATCATGAACTCTTGCTCTTGATAATTGGTCCAAGCTTTCATGTTCCTGCTATGGCAAATTGGAGCAGGCTGATACGTCTTTAGCTCATCCCACATCGTTTTTATGCGGGTATAATAAGCATTGATGGAGAGAGAACCCTGAACTAGATTGTTCATTGCTTGCTTGAGCTGGAAGATCCTCGGAGCGTTGCTTTACTGGAATCGTAGGCAGAGGTCAGTTCACATGTCCTGGGCATTCTCGTGATATAATAGGTTGTCGACGATCTCCTTGGCGACGGTGTTGAGGAGCCATGAGATTACCATGCTATTACACCTCGACCAAACACTGGCAGAAGGATCAATGTTCACCGGCTTGATGAAGGTACCATCAAGAAAACCCAATTTGTTCTTTGCATTGAGGGCAATTCTCATAGCCCTTTCCCAAGTATTATAATTATTGCTGTGAAGAAGGATACTCACCAAAACCAGACTTGGGTGGTCTGCACTCTGGAGGAAGAATGGGTTTTGGGTTTCATCAGTCTGGGGAGATGAACTTTCCAGCTCCTGATTGGGTTCTACGGCTCCTCTGGCCATTGAAGATTAATGGGGTATGAGATTTGAACAAATTTATAGAAGAAAGATTGAATGGAAGAATCAAATTAATGAAGTTTGAGATTGAATTGAAGAATCAAGGAATCTGTGATCAATCAATCACAGTGAGAAGAGCACAGAGGTTCTGATACCATATTAAGCTGTTTATTTGATTTTATAGAATACAAAGAATATATTATATATATGTAAGAATAATAAAGTAAAATAACAACACAATCAATTATAACTAAAATAACAGAATACTCTAATAAAACTATAGTGTTTTCAGCCAAAATCTTTAAAATAAAATTTTAGTTATAATGGATATTTTTTTTAATAAACATTCTATATTTTGTTCAAAATGAGAGTTCAATGCATTTAATAATATGGAGGAGAGGTATACTTAGAAAGAAAAAGATATATATTGTTGACTATCCAACTCTATATTAGAATTGCTCTATCATTTCATTTTTTTGACTAAGGTAAGTCTTTCTCTCAACATAATCTTCTTTATTAACTTAATTCAGGTTTAACTCACTTAAAAAAAATCACAAAATGAGTCATATTTCGGTGCAAACGCCATGAAAAGACATTACATTAGAAAATTATTAAGATATATGAGTTACATGAATCCAGCTACCTATGTTTTTCTGATAACTAAGGAGACTAATAATGGTGGAGAAATAACACCCCTTAAAGGCTATTTCTAGTTGCTGTTTAGATAATGATTAGGAAGATTAACAATCTTATCCACTTAGTGGGGTCTCATCGAGAAATTTCTGAGAATCACAGGGTTAATGTTCTACTTGAACTCAAAGTAAATATGAACAAAAAATTCTTCACTTTAGTTAAGATGAGGACAGAGACAACTAAAAGAGATTTGCGAATGTTCTACTTGAACTAAAGTACACTGGGACGGAAAAAATTCTTCGTTCTATTTAAGATGAGGACGTAGACATGTAAAAGAGGTTTGCCAATATTCAATTTCAACTCGAAATAAATTGGGATGGAAAAATCCTTCAATCTACTTAAAATACGAATAAAGACAACTAAAAGAGGTTCTTCCCCCACACTATCCTTGGTTGCCTTACTAACAAATAATTAACTTATATATTTTTAAATATAATATTTGTATAATTTAATATTTATTAAATTAAATTACTAAATTAACCACTTCTTAATTTAAAAAATTGAACAATATGGTGTATAAATTTAAATATTTTATCGTTTTAATATTCTTACATTAAACAATTTGAATGAATACTTAATTAAAAGGATAATTTAAATGAATATATGAAATAAAATTTAGATATTTAATTATTTTTTATTTATATTGAAGATGTTAGATATGATTTTTTAGAATTTTTTGGGATGATTTTATTGTGCTTATATTTTAAAAGAATTAGATGCAATTTTTATTAAGTATGATTTATGTTAAAAAATAAAAAAATAAAGATAATAAGGAAAAACAAAGATTCTTAGTCTTTATGCTGAGAATAGGGATAAGAAACAATTCTCAATCGAAGATTAAAAACAAAGACAAGGAGTAGGAAGGCTATAGGGATGAAGACTGGAAGAATATTTCTGCTCTCAAACTTACTCTAGTAACATTCTTAATGATTAGTCGCCATGTAAGAATAAATACTCCTCATGTAAGAAGGATATTTGAAAGCTCATTAACGTACCAAGAGGAAATAACATAATTAGTTGCAAATGGGACTTAAAGAAAAAGGGAGTTTCTCAAATTGAAGAAACAAGGTCCAAAGCTTGGTTAGTAAAGTATAAAGCCAAGTAAAGTTGTAGCCTTTAGCGATATCTTCTCAAATATCATGAAGCATTGGTCAAATGTCATCCTCCTTATTTTTGTTGTTTATTATATTATTTACCTTTAGAGCATTTAAATGTTGGAGCTATACATCTATATAGTGATACTGAGGAGTAAATTATATGTAACAACTATAAGATTTTAAAGTTGAAGACAATAAAAGAAGATTATATTTTTTTATTGAAAAAATTCTTGTACAACCTTGAGTA